AACTGTGACTACATAAACACCCTTGAATTGTACAGCTTAAGTAGATGGATTTTTATAGTATGTAAATTATGGCTCAATAAACCTATTACCAAAAAACATCATTGTACATGAACGTGAGTTATTAACAATGGTAGAAAGGAAGCAGAGGGCACTGTGAAGAGAGGCCACCTAGAAAAGACTGACTATGGACTGACAGGGCAAAGAAGCAGAGGCGCCTTCCAGGAAAGGGGAAGGCCCATGCAAACCTGTAGAGGAAGGAAGGAAAACCAAGGCTGAGAAAGATGTCAGTGGTAATACCTTATCAGATGTTTGTGCTAGAAACTAGAATGATGTCATCTGAGTCTCCATAAAAACCATTCCCTCAGTCAGTCAATTATGTGCTAGCTACTGGGGATGCTATAACAAAGGAATGCTATTATTATCCTTTTTATGCATATAAGGATTAAATTACAGGCTGGAGGCGTGGCTCAAGTAGTGAAGTCATGGGTTCAAACTCCAGCACCACAAAAAAAAAAAATTGAATTACAAAATTACAGAGCTAGTAAGTGGAAGAACTGGGATTCAAACCCAGGCTAACTCAAGAACCATTTTCCAAGAAATGTTATAATCTTATACATCCCCACAAATAGTCATGAAGGAAATCAGAACACACCACCCCAAGACATGACAATTCTGCATAGCAATTCTTGGATGCTGAAGACACAAGAGAAATAGCAGCTGCAGAAAAGGTCACTGGAACTGCCTTCTAGCAGCAATTACTGGCAGCAAGCCCTATCAATTCCTATGGAAAAGGTGCTTTCTGAGTGCCAGGAGGAGAAGATAATTCTTATCAGCTCCAACATGGTACCAGAGGAACCAAATCTGCAAACAACACTTACTCTATTGTGTCTTTTTCCATACGATTGGCCTTCTGTATCTGCTGGTTCCATACTGGAGGATGGTAACCAACTGTGGATCAAAAATATTTTGGAACTCTGTATTGAACATGTACAGGTAACACTGTGCCTTAAATGATGTAGTATAACAAATACATATAATTTACATTGTATTAGGCATTATGAGTACTCTACAGATGATTTAAGGTATATGGGAGTGGCTGGGGGTATAGAGGTGGGTGGCTGGGGGTACAGCTTGGTGGTAGAGCATTTGCCTAGTATGCACAAGGGTCCTGAGTTTGGTTCCCAGAACTGAAAACATTTTTAATTAAAAAAAAACTATACAGCAGGGTGTGTATATTATATATGCAAATACAACACCATTTTAATAAGGGATTTGAGCATCCTCAAATTTTGGCATCTGAGGGGTGTCCTGGAACCAATCCCCCATGGATACTGAGGGACCAACCATAACTATGTATATAAACATTCACAGAAATAGATTTACATATTTTCTGTGTACATTCTATCATATCTATATATTCTATAGAACGTCTATATACTCTATAGTGTCTTTCTATTATTATTTTACAGGGCTTAGAAGCCTTTTGTATTTCCTTTTGTATCTGTTCTTATTTGCCTAATTGTTTATTGTGTTATTATTCTTTGTGTTAATTTTTTAGTTATAGCAAACACTTCAGATAATCACCTTAAGAAAAATTTATTTTGGCTTACAGTTTCAAAGGTTTCAGTCCAAGGTCAGCTGGCTCCATTGTTTTGGGCCTGAGGTGAGGCAGAACATCATGGTGGGAGGAACATGTGGTGGAAGAGGCTTCTCACCTTTTGGCAGCCAGGAAGCAGAGAGAGACAGACATAGGGAGAGGCCAGAGACAAGATAAGCTCCTCAAAGGTATGCATTTCGAATCCACTTCCTCCAATTAGGTCCCATCGTCCACATGCTTTTCTTGACTCATTTTCGGTGTTTTAGGTTTGCTTCTGGTGGACTAGAGAGGCCAGGCTCAGCCACAGAACTCCTGCCCTGCAAGCTCAAAGCCCTGGGTTCAAACCCTAGTACTGCAACCAAAAGAAAAAAAAAATTTTGCTTCTGGTGTCAATGATGGCACCAGATGTCATTTAAATTTTTTATTTTTATTTGGTAAATTTATCAGTCTTTCCTTTATGGCTTTCTTCATGGATTCTGGATTTTAGATCACACCCAGAAAAATCTTTCTCATTTCAAAATTATGAAGAATCCATTTTTCTTCTATTTTTCTAGTATAACTTAAAATATACAAATGTGTAAGTCAGGATTGAACCCAGGGCTTCAGGCATACTAAATTTGTACTCTACCAATGAGCTATGTTCCTAGCTGAACATATGCAAAGCTCTGAAGCACTTGAAACTTACTCAGTGTACTATGTCATTTATGGACACAACCTGGTTTTTTTTTTTGACTATCCAATTGTCTTAACCTTTTAAAAATTATTTCTTTAAGAACACATAATAGGAACATTTATTGAGAATATATTCTGGGAAAATTGCTTTACATGCACAACAATTTCACCCATTTTAAAGGTGGGTGCACTGGAGCCAGGGCCATTTGTCAACTTGCCCAAGGCTGCTGAGTTGGTAAGTAGAGTTTGTAGTTTTCCTGAGAATCTGCCTATGTGTTCCCTCTTCCCCAAGAGCCCTCTAAGCAATCTAAGTCATCCTTGGGTTTTGAACTTCCACATTTCTTGCAATCAAGCTCCCACCATAGCTAGTAACCCAATGTGTTATCTTGCACTGGGGAAGACCTGTGCCTTTATGTTACAAAATTTGGGGTTCATGGACAAAGTCCCCCTGGTTTGTCCAAAGGTGGTAAGAAGCCTCATAACATAGATTGAACCCTTTCTTTGTCTGGGCAAGATTCAAACTCAAGCCAGTGCTGGTGGGTCATGCCTGTAATCTTAGCTACTCAGGAGGCAGAGATCAGGAGGATCCGTATGAAGCCAGAGAGATCCTCTCTTGAAAATACCCAACAGAAAAGAGATGGCTGAGTGGCTAAAGCGGTAGAGCACTTGCCTAGCAAGTGTTAGGCCTTGAATTCAAGCCCCAATACTGCCAATAAAATAAAATTAAATTAAAAAGATTCAAACTCAACACCCAAGACCCACAGGATGAAAGGAGGTGTTATGTGGCTGAACAGTCTAAGACACTAGTCCAGAAGACTCTGTCACCTGAACAGAGAACTAGACAGAGACACAAATTGCAAAACAGTAACAAAAGTTAATTGGAAGGAAAGAAAGAGTTAGGAAAAGGAAAATCACTGCCAGAAAAGCAGTGGGCTCCGGCCTGATGGCAAGGAGGCATTGACTAGCAAAACTTTACTGAAAGAAAAGGAAAGAAGGAAGCACTGCAAATGGAAGCAGTGGGCCGTTCCCAGGTGGCACAGAAGCATTGATTTCTTTGTTTAAGCCCAATTTATAAGTTGTAAGGCAGGAAAAATCGGGGCAGTCCTTAGGGAGGAGCTAGGGTGGCTGGCAGGTATACTTAGCACAGTCTTATCACACAACATGGGGTAGTCTGCACATGTGTTTATGCTAATATTTAGGTCTTTAATTGCATGAGAAGTGACCAAATGTTCATGAGGTCCTAAGTAAGAGACTTGGCCTGGGAGGTCAAATGGGAGGCAGTTTTTTTTTTTTTTTTCCCCACAAGTCAGGTATGCCCAAAGGCACCTCTTCTGGATGATATCTTGCAATTATATTTATGACCACCAGGGCATTTATGATTTAGAGGGGATTAATTGCTCTGGAGATGGTTAAGGGCTGTGCTGGGGTGCATGTTAGCTTTGTATGCTTAAGAGAGCCCCTGGTAAGTTATTTTCCCTACCTGCTAACCTGTCTCAGAGGGAGAAGGTGGTGAAATAGCCCACCCAGCCCTCCTCTGAGTATTGTTGGAGTGCCAAGTGTCATTTTAATTTTCCTTCTCCAGGAACTTGGGTCTATTTCTGAACTTCATTCTGTCCCTTTGGCTTGTCTTTCGGTGCACTAGTTTTAACTAGTTATGGAGGCTATTATGTTGCAATAACTGATGGCGCTAACTCCCTTCTCCTTTGTCTTTCTCAGAGCCTAATTTGTTTTCAGACTAGTTTATTTATGTTTTAGAATTTAGTATGAATTTTAGAAATGAATTAGGTGCTTTACTCATACGTACACGCACAGCCCGGGATGGTCTCCAGCACCAACAAAAATCTCCACACTCTCCCCTATCCCCAAGTAACTATTTTTGTTTGCAGTGCTGAAGGTCAGTCTCAGGGCCTTCCACATCCTAGACAAGTCTTCTGCCTCTGAACTACACCTCCATCCCTTAACCTATTAATTCTACTGGTACTTTTATTGAGATTATGTTATAAGTTTATAATTTGCTTAAGAAGATTTGAGACCTAAGTGTCTAAAAACATCTTTTCATCTGTCCATTCAACTATTACGTATAAAGTGGGAGTGACACTGATACCAGTCTCCCAGGCTGTCCGCAGAACCAAATGAGAAATTGCACAGCGGGACAGGTTGCTCCGTCACTTCTCAACTGCATACACTTGGGCTTGGTTACTTGACTGTTTTGAACTTCGCCTCTTTCATTTGTCCAATGGACATAACAACCGTATCTGTAATGAGGGTACCGGAACTTAAGTGCTCAATAAATACTGTTTTTCTAAGCAAACAGATTCTTCCAGAGCAGGGAAAATGTGATTTAAAGCAAAAGCTTGGTGGCATCCACCCGAGGACGAGGCCCCAAAGCTAACTCTTTTTTTCCAGAAGCCATCTAACCGTTGGTCTCCCCTTCGGACTCCTCAGTGTGTCTGGGAAGGCAGCAGGATTGGCACCGAGAGTCAAAAGCCACCACAGCCTCTGAAACGCTGCCCCAGCCAGCAGGGACCGGTAGTGCCACGTATCGCGCGGCCTGCAAGCCCTACAAGAGTAGGCGGGGCCAACTCGAGGCACGCCTCCAATCGGGGTACGTCACGCCTTAGGCCCGTCCCCCCACCGCCTGAGTGGCTGGTGGAGAGGTTCCCCGGGCAGAGCAGCGTGACGCTACGAAGGGGTGTGGCAAGCACGCACCCGGAAGTCTCGGGGGAGAGGGGGTGACGTATATCCGGCGAGTTGCTGGCGGCCCCGGGTGCTGCTGGTCTGTGTGCTGTGAGGGAGGGTCCAAGCCGTCCGCCGACACCGGAGGAGCCCCTCGGGCCGTGAGTCAAGGGGCCTTGGTGGAGGAGGCAGCCGGCGTCCGAGGGGCTGGGGCGGACAGCGGGGAATGTCGGGATAGAGGCCAGCCCGGACGGGGTTGGGGGGGGAAGTGACACGCAGGCGGTTCTGTGGGGCCACGGGGCCGGTTCTGGGCGGGGACGGGCCGACTCGGCCCGGTCTCCTCAATCTCCTGTCGGCCTCTGGGGTAGGGGGCCCACCTGCATTCCTCTCGGGAGTCTTGCAGCTGCTGGGCCGGATAACAATTTCCTTGCTTACACTGTGCGCCCTGGTTTACAAAACGCTTCGTGTTCTCTGTCTCCGATGAGCCTCAGTCCTCAGTGAGGGTGATGGGATTCCTTAATGCTCATCTTGTTTTGTAGATTCAGGGACTGAGGCTAGGCAAGGCCCTGCAGCTGCAGGTGTGAACTCTCCAACCAGGTGTACAGGCTCCTAGTCCAGGGCTCCTCCCCACACTAGCTTTCTGTTGTCATCTCGTGTCCTGTGTGGAGCCCTGTGTTTTCTCCTTCCATCTCCCTATTTTTCCCTCTCTTCTGTGCATGGAAAAAATTCCCTCATGGGCGTTTGGCATAGATTAGTGTTTTCATGACTGTAGCCGAGGTAAGGCTGGTACCAAATTGCCTCTGAGTCGTCCCTTTTTTTTTTTTTTTCTGTACTGGAGTTTGAGCTCAGGGTTTCACGCTTGGTAGGCAGACGACGCTCTACTTCGTGAGCCACTCCGCCAGCCCACGTCTCAGTGTTCTCCTTTGCTCTTGTCTTTTTCCTTACAGGGAATGAATCTGCTTAGGATGATACAGGAGGTTTTGGGACATTGCCATGGGGCTGACCCTTGACATTTACCCCTGTAGCTAAGTAGAGTTTCTTAGCTAAAAACCAGTTGTTTACTACTGTAGATCTGTCTGGAATGCAGTTTTGAATTTGCCCTGAGTATAGAAATGTGTAAATTTTTTAATAGGTTAATGGTCAGTTTGGCGATGCTTCTCCTTTGAATCAGTCCAGCCTGAAATGTGTAAGTTTTCATTTTAGGTGAAGCAGTGTTTTTGCTGGTCTTTAGAGCTCTTAGAGAGTAGTCTAACTTGCTATAGGTGGATCAAGAATAGAAAATAAACAAGATGCTAATTATTTTAAGACCACCCAAAAGATGTGTGTTGGGAAGACTTTGATGGTGTAGTTGGTAGGTTATGGAAGTAAGTTTCCTTTTTTAAAAAAAGCAAGATTGTGATTCTTTCAGGAAGGGCTTTGACTTTGGTGTTAAAAGAGGAGGGTTTAAGTCCTGGAACTGTTACATTTTTCAGCTGAGCAATCTTGAACAAGTTGGCTAGTCTAGGAATGTCCTCATCTTCATTTTGTTAAATGAGGCCAATAATCCCTGCTTGGTAGAGTTGGTGTGAGGATGAAACGAGATGTTTGTGCAGGTTCTGTATAAACTCTAAAACTACTGAAGACTTGGTGTAGATCCTGAGATCTCAAGGATGGACGAGCCATCAGGGCCATTTCCTTAACTTGAGTAGCGCTGAGTACATCCCAGCTCTGGATGCAGTACTTGAAGAGTTTCTTCAAATACTTTCCATAGATCATTTTGGAGGGAAGATTCATAGAATTTTTTTTAAGAAGAATGTCAAGGAGAAATAAATTGTAGTCAAAATAGTTCAGTTACTGTAAGAAATTTCTTAAGGTGTGGGGTTTTCCCATTGTGCTCTTTGCATAATTCACCTGGTTGGGAATAGTTCTAAAATGTGGTAAAATTTTAAAAAGAGCCTATAAAGTGCTGACAACAAACCAGTGTAGTACACATAAATACACAAGGGTTGGGCGGTAGAGGGGTGGTCAGAGTGAAAGTGACCCTAATGAGGAGTGCTCTGTAAAGGTGAGCTGTTCAAGCAATAATTGACAAGAGATGGGGGAGGATGTCTGATTTGGGTAGACTGCACAGGAAAGGCACATTGTTCTTTTATTTACCTACGTTAAACGGCAACTTAAATATAGGCCCTTTGCAAGTATATTTAAGCTATTGGATTTTTTTTAATTATTTTTCAAAGATTTATTAGGATACCATTAAAAGGGGGGATAATAGCAATTGGCTGCTCCATAAAGGAACAAAGCGCCAAGTTAATTGGATTTCTGAAAGTGCTATATTTCCAGACAAATATTATTTATCATGCTCGTGTGTTCTGTTTTTCTGCCAAGATATATTTGAATATTAATGAAAAGAACAAAACAAAACTTTAGTATCTTTACATAGAACCTTTTTCCTTAGTTTGTACCTTCACCCAGACTTGTACTTTATTTGTCCCTGTATGATAGGAGCTAAGGAAAGTAAGCATTAAGTAGGCCTAAGGTTTATAGGTCTGGCCACAGACCTGATAAAAAGAAAGGAAAAACATTTATTATCTCCGTTTTTTAGCTTCCTCTTCAGTCAGAATTTTCTGAAGACTATAGGGGGAGCGGGGCATGTCCCTGTTATTCCAGCTACTTGGGAGGCTGACATAGAAGGAGGCTTGAGCCCAAGCACTCTAAGTCAGGCTGGTCAATACGGCCAGACACTGTCTCTTATACCCTGTCTCTCTTATAAAAATATGTGTGTGTATAAGAATGCTTTGTGGGTAACCCCTTTCCCAGTTGTTAAAAGTTTTAGTGATTGCAGTTGGTCACATCTAGTGTAAAGCCTGTGATGTGTTGAGGTGTTCCTGCTGATGGAGAGGAGTGAAAGTAATGATTTTTTTTTCTTCACTAAATCAGATAGAGGCAAAAATTCAGTGTGATCAGAAAATGTAATGCTAAGAAACCTTAAGACCTACCAGTATCTCTAGATTCTTCCCTCTTAACTTCACTCAGAGATACATACAAGCAATAGGATCTGAGATCAGGTCCAGTACTCAGAGATCCTTTTGCTTGTATATAGACCTGTTAGTAGCTTTGGGTTATTGTTTGGTGTAGTCTTTGGGAAATAGTAGGAAAAATGGTGCTAATATCAGTACTAATTAAGATACCTATTTATTTAGGAACCTACTGCTATATTATGAATGAGTTGTTTTTTTTTTTCTTTGACAGGATTGGGGTTTAATTGAATTCAGGGCTTTGCACTTGTAAAACAGGCACTCTACTGCTTGAACCACACCTCCAAGTCCGTTTTTGCTCTGGTTATTTTGGAGATGGGGGACTTGAACTATTTGCCTGGGCTGGCTGTGAATTACAGTCCTCCCAATTTCAGTCTTGATTACAGGCATGAGCCACCAGTGCCTGGCTGAGCATTCTTATTTTAAGAGAATAAGAATTTGTAAAATGTACTTGATTATTTATGTTATGAAGGGATTGTATACCTTCATGGTTCTGTACAGTAAGTTGAAAAAAAAAATCTGCAAAAGGGGTTCGATAAATAATTGTTTTAAGAAGAGATAGTATTGGTAAGTGGAGCAGGGCAAATTGGGCCAGCAAATAGGATTTTAAGTGACTTTATTTAGTTATTGATTTTTGTGGTACTGGGGTTTGAATTCAGGCCTACAGCTTGAGCCACTCCACCAGCCCTTTTTTGTGATGGGTTTTTTCCGAGATAGGGTCTCTCAAACTATTTGCCCGGGCTGGTTTCAAACCATGATCCTCCTGATCTCTACCTCCTCAGTAGCTAGGATTACAGGTATAAGCCACCAGTGCCAGGCTAAGTGATTATTTTTTACAGCTGTTTACAGGATAGGGTAATATACTTTTCATTCCTGTTTTCTATGTAGTGCATCTATATGGACTTTTGATCCAAATTATTATTACTACTGTTACTATTATTATTATTATTTTTGGCAGTACTGGGGTTTGACCTGAGGGCCTCACACTTGCTAGGCAGATACTCTACAGCTTGAACCACTCTGTCCAGCCCTTTTTCATGTTGGATATTTTCAAGATAGGGTCTTGTGAACTATTTGCTCAGGCTGGCTTCAAACTGAGATCCTCCTGATCTCTGCCTCCCAAGTAGCTAGGATTACAGGTCTGAGCCACCAGCACCTGGAACTGATTCAGATTATTGATGAGACTAATTTCTTAGAGGCATTGCTGACTGGTAGACAGAATTGGTGTATCTAGGGAATGTGAACAAGCAGCTACCTGGAGGAGTGAATCACACAGTAAAAGAGGGAAGTATATCTGTAACCTCTAGTTCTCTGAGTTTCAGATTGATAACTATTAGGAAACCATGAATTTGTGTAGACATGAGACTCTTATAGATATCCTTCCAGGGCGCAAAATTCTTGTCTTAAGGGGGAGAGAGGTGAGTTTATATTTTTTGTGTGCTTAAACTAGAAGAAAAGGGCCTGTGAATATGCATAGGGAATAAGAGTTAACTTTGCCAGAACAGTGTTGGCACTCAGAAAGCTAATGTTTGCTACTTTCCTATTTTCTACAGGTAGTAAGCATTAATAATGTCTTTCATCTTTGAGTGGATCTACAATGGCTTCAGCAGTGTGCTTCAGTTCCTAGGTAAAGACATTTCCTTAAACTATTTTGTAGGTTTCAAATTTTGTGCACTTTCTCCCAACATTTAAATACATGCAGCTTTTGGTGTGTACAAAGACAATTTATATGGAAAATTCCTTTCTCTTTTAGGACTCTACAAGAAATCTGGGAAGCTTGTATTCTTGGGTTTGGATAATGCAGGCAAAACTACTCTTCTTCACATGCTCAAAGATGACAGATTGGGCCAACATGTTCCAACATTACATCCGAGTAGGTTTGAAAGTACCAGGTGACCTTTTGATCTTTGAAAATCATTGTGAGGCTTGGAGGATAAATCCTTAATTAATGTAGTTCTTTTATTAAAGAGCATTCTGAGCTCCCAGAAGCCAGCTCACTTTGAAGTTACTTCTAGGAAATACTCAGGTCATATACTCTCAGCTTCTGGAACTTTGCTACATCTAACAAGTTCTATAATGGGATACATCTCTCAAAGATTCTTCTTAAGAAGCAGAGAACATCTTGGGGGAAAAGAAACTAGGTTTTTTAGACTAGGTTAAGAAGGTTATCACTCCTATATCTTTTTCTTTTTTTAATGAAGGTGAAAACTTCATTAAGTTTTACATTAGTATTGGTTTATAGCCCTGCCAGTTGGGCTTGTGGTTGGAAAAGTTTATTTATTTTCTCTCTCTACTTTTTAAACATTTTTTCAGCATCAGAAGAGCTGACAATTGCTGGAATGACTTTTACAACTTTTGATCTTGGTGGGCATGAGCAAGGTAAGAGATTCAGTGGAAGTATGGTTTGATTTACATAGTTCATTTCATGCTCCTTTCCTCAAACCAATCTGTCATTTTTACCTTGTAAATTACTTGTATTTACGATTGGAATCTTACTTCAGCAAAATTGTTTTATCTACTTTTTTTTTTTTTTTTGTGGAACTGGGGTTTGAACTCAGTACTTTGTGTTTGCAAAGTAGGTGCTCTACCACTTGAGCCCACCTCCTGTTCATTTTGCTCTGGTTATTTTGGAGATGGGGGGAGTTGCAAGAATTACTTGGTGTGGTTGGCCTGAAACTGTGATCCTCCTGATTTCGTCCTCCTAAGTAGTTAGGATTATAGGTGTGAGCCACTGGAACCTGGCTTCTTAAGTAATTTCAAGCTTGTCAAAATTTTTTAAGTAATTTCAAGCTTGTCAAAAATTGCAGTATATGCAGGGAATTCCATTGTCCCAATTTATTAGTCTGTCTCTCTCAAATACTGATGTTTAATCTTTTCCTGAATAATTGGTGAGAACATGATGCCTCCCCTTTATTTCTTAATACCTTAGGGCCTATTTCCTAAGAATAAGAGTATTCCCTTAATAATCATAATTTTTTTATCAAAATTTTATCTACTCCATACTGTGTATTTCTTTTTTGTCAGTTGTTCCATAATCTTTTATAGCATTTGTTCCTCAGCAGGGGAGTATATCACATACTGTAGTTAGTTACCAAATCTCTTTTGTATGCTTTGTTCATTGGAATACTAACATGTAAGAAATTAACTTATTGTAAGAAATTTCAAACCTATCAAAAGTTGCCAAAATGACATAGTAGTTACTTATAATCACTGCAGTCTAAACTGTTACTTTTATGAGGCTGGAAGTATGGCTTGCATAGAGTGCCTGCTTAACAAGCACAAAGCCCTGAGTTCAAACCCCAGTACTGCCAAAAAATAATAATAAACTGTTACTTTTGTATGTATTTGCCAATTTGGGACCATTGGAACATTTTCTTCTACTGTGTTGCTCTTCTTATAAGTCCTTTTTGCCTTACCCAGGCTATGTCTGTTTTCCAGATTCCCATTAGGTATTTTGTGTGTGCATGTGTCTGTGTGTGTTTCCCCTGCTGTTGGAGATCAAACTGAAGGCCTTGTGTATGCTAGGCATGTGTTGTACCTAACTTCTAACTCCTAACCCCTCTTCTATATATTTTATACAGACTGGGAATCTTTATCTGATGGACACTCAGTTTACACTTGGCAAGACTGTAGGTGTAGAATTAAAACATTTAAGATGTGGGAATAAATATCCTGGTTAAGTTTGGAAGAAAATAAAAAACTATTGAGATTCTGTCAATTGTTATTAAGAAGTCTTTTAGAACTTTTTTTTCCCCACATTGCCCTCTGGAACATTGTAAGTTAAATCTAATAATAGTTTTTTTAAAAAACTATAGTTAAAAAGTAGCATATTGGTAGTTTCCAATTGTTTAACCTAATAATTTTATACTCAGTGATTTCATTAATATATTACATTTACTTAACTCAATATTTATATCTTGAAAAATCATAAATGATGTATGATTACAATCACATAAAATACCTGTGCAGAAAAAGATTGGATGAACCATATACCAGAATGTCAATGGGTGTGTTTTTCCGGAGGGATTGTAAATTTTTGTTTCCTTTTTTTCTGTAATGAGCTTGTGTTCTTTTCATTTGGGTAGGAATGGGTATTTGGTGTTTTCTGCTTATTTCAAAAAAGGATTTATTTATAATTGCTTATAAATTCAGAGCTAGATAAACCTGAACCAAGATAATCTGAGAATGCCAAATGAATAGACACCAGATGTCTTTAGATACTGGAACTGGGAATTGTAGATTATTTGTGTAATAAATTTAGCTTTTGGGTTTTGTTGAACAATAACAGAAGGGAAAGTGTGGAAGGCCCCACTTTCAGAAATGATCAGGTAATTGTTATTTACCATTGAATGTAGACATACTTCCTTGTTCATTCCATTGTAATGACGAGAAATGAATGGGTAGAAATTGTAGTACAATTAAAGCACTACTTCCTGACATTTATTACCTCTTGTCACAAAAGAAAACCAAAAATCATTCTACACCTATAATCTTGGTACTTGGGAGGCTGAGGTAGGAAGCTGAGAGTTCCAGGCCAGCCTGGTTTATATAGGAATATCCTGTCACAAACAGACAACAAAAACAACAACAACATTTCTAGGACTTTTGGGTAAATATGGGAGGCTATAGTAACTGGCCTGGGGGCTTCAACCACCTTTTAGGCCCAGTACCCCTGAGGGCTCAACAGATAAGTGTGTGAACACATACATGTTAGTTGGTTAGGAGCTAACTTGGGACTAAAGTTGTGTGGACAAGTAATTTGTATCCTGACTTTTTTTTTTAAAGAGAGGTTGCAAACAAAATTGGCTACAGGTCACTTAAATGAGTCAAATTGATTAAGTGTAAGACACTAGGGAGTGGGGAAAATTGGTAAGCTAAAGAACTCAGACTTCATCTAAAGGGGTAGCCACCACTTGTTCACCTCTAATGAATATTGGCATGTGGTTAAGTAGGCATAGGATTGCTACATGTTGCTTTTTTTTTTTTTAAAGGAAGGTAGAAACTACAGAAATAAAGTTTAGCTTATGGACCATTAGTTTGCATCCTGTGTTTTAACTTAGCTATTGACCAGGACACGGAGAATCCATACGGATTGAAACCAGCCATTTGCCCATTTTATAGAAAATTGAGAACCTAACAAAAGATGTGAATGACCTCTACAAGGAAAACTATACACTTCTGAAGAAAGAGATTGAGGAAGATTATAGAAAGTGGAGAGATCTCCCATGCTCATGGGTTGGAAGAATCAATATAGTAAAAATGTCTATACTCCCAAAAGTAATCTACATGTTTAATGCAATTCCCATCAAAATTCCAATGACATTCATTAAAGAGATTGAAAAATCTACTGTTAAATTTATATGGAAACACAAGAGGCCACGAATAGCCAAGGCAATACTCAATCAAAAGAACAATGCAGGAGGTATCACAATACCTGACTTCAAACTATATTACAAAGCAATAACAATAAAAACAGCATGGTACTGGCACAAAAACAGACATGAAGACCAGTGGAACAGAATAGAGGATCCAGATATGAAGCCACACAACTATAAGCAACTTATCTTTGACAAAGCAGCTAAAAATATACGATGGAGAAATAGCAGCCTCTTCAACAAAACCTGCTGGGAAAACTGGTTAGCAGTCTGCAAAAAACTGAAACTAGATCATGTATATCACCCTATACCAAGATTAACTCAAAATGGATCAAGGATCTTAATATCAGACCCCAAACTCTTAAGTTGATACAAGAAAGAGTAGGAAATACTCTGGAGTTAGTAGGTATAGGTAAGAACTTTCTCAATGAAACCCCAGCAGCACAGCAACTAAGAGATAGCATAGATAAATGGGACCTCATAAAACTAAAAAGCTTCTGTTCATCAAAAGAAATGGTCTCTAAACTGAAGAGAACACCCACAGAGTGGGAGAATATATTTGCCAACTATACATCAGACAAAGGACTGATAACCAGAATATACAGGGAACTTAAAAAACTAAATTCTACCAAAACTAATGAACCAATAAAGAAATGGGCATGAGAACTAAACAGAACTTTCTCAAAAGAAGAAATTCAAATGGCCAGAAAACACATGAAAAAATGCTCACCTCTCTAGCAATATAGGAAATGCAAATTAAAACCACGCTAAGATTCCACCTCACCCCTGTTAGAATAGCCATCATCAGCAACACCACCAACAACAGGTGTTGGCGAGGATGCGGGGAAAAAGGAACCCTCTTACACTGTTGGTGGAAATGTAGACTAGTACAACCACTCTGGAAAAAAATTTGGAGGCTACTTAAAAAGCTGGACATCGATCTACCATTTGATCCAGCAATACCACTCTTGGGGATATACCCAAAAGACTTTTACTCCAGAGGCACCTGCACACCCATGTTTATTGCGGCACTATTCACAATAGCCAAGTTATGGAAACAGCCAAGATGCCCCAGCACTGACGAATGGATTAAGAAAATGTGGTATCTATACACAATGGAATTTTATGCAGCCATGAAGAAGAACGAAATGTTATCATTCGCTGGTAAATGGATGGAATTGGAGAACATCATTCTGAGTGAGGTTAGCCTGGCTCAAAAGACCAAAAATCGTATGTTCTCCCTCATATGTGGACATTAGATCAAGGGCAAACACAACAATGGGATTGGACTATGAGCACATGATAAAAGCGAGAGCACACAAGGGAGGGGTGAGGATAGGTAAGACACCTAAAAAACTAGCTAGCATTTGTTGCCCTTAATGCAGAGAAACTAAAGCAGATACCTTAAAGCAACTGAGGCCAATAGGAAAAGGGGAACAGGTACTAGAGAAAAGGTTAGATCAAAAAGAATTAACCTAGAAGGTAACACCCCCACGCACAGGAAATCAATGTGAGTTAATGCCCTGTATAGTTATCCTTATCTCAACCAGCAAAAACCCTTGTTCCTTCCTATTATTGCTTATACTCTCTCTACAACAAAATTAGAAATAAGGGCAAAATAGTTTCTGCTGGGTATTGAGGTGGGGGGAGATGAGGGGGCGGAGTGGGTGGTAAGGGAGGGGGTGGGGGCAGGGGGGAGAAATGAACCAAGCCTTGTATGCACATACGAATAATAAAAGAAAAATGAAAAAAAAATTTTTTTGTTGATGCAAGTATAAACTTTGTCTTTTAGCACGTCGGGTTTGGAAAAATTATCTCCCAGCAATTAATGGGATTGTCTTTCTGGTGGACTGTGCAGATCATTCTCGCCTCATGGAATCTAAAGTTGAGCTTAATGTATGTATATATATATTTCTTTTCTTGGCCTCTATTTCTTTCAAGAAATACAGTTCAGTAGTGCCAGTTAGCATGTGGTCAAAGTCCTAGTCACAAGAAGAAAATGTTTTGAAATCAAAGACCTTGTTTTTCAATGTCCCGAGGAACCTCAGTTTGAACTTGAATAAATTAACTTCAGAGTGTATCTATCATAAGTTGACTGTATGGCCACGATTAATCAGAACACTCCTCCTGCAGTTTATGCCTGTTGTTCCAGCATAGTTAATGGCATACCCTTTCATGTAACACATTTGGTTACCTGAATGTGGTGTTGGCATAGTGAACCCCTTGAAGAAATAATGGAGTTCTTTGCATTTTTGAATCTGCCTCCTTCTGCGGTTATGCCTACTACCCTTCCTCTGTATTACTAGCCAGACCTTACCAGTCTGTTGGCAGTCTTCAATTTTTTGGTCTCATTTATCCTTTGATACTATCAAGGACTCACTTCAGAATTTCTCCTTTGTCAACATTGCCTTTTCTTGGCTCAGTGATTTCTATAATGATGATTTCTAATTATTCCTATTCTTTTACCGTATCTCTCTTCTTTCTCTTCAATTTATAACTGTTTCCCTGCACTTTTGTTTCTGGCAATTTGAATCTGTCTCAAGTGTATTTTAAGTATGTTTCTCAAGTCTCGATGTGTTGCCTCATGTGGAATTTCCTACCGGGAAGTCCTGTTGGCTCTGGCTACTCTTCCTTTCCTTAGACTCCCCTTTACACTCTTGATTTTAGTGCTTTCTCTAGCTGGTATTTCTCAGTTCCTTTCACAAGCACTTGTTCCTCTGTTTAGCCTATAAATGTGGTTTTCCCCAGGGTCTGTACTTTCTCCCAGGCTAGTCTCATGTACTCCTGTTTATCTGCCACCCACATCAGTGACTCCCAGATGGAGTTCTTTTGTTCAGACTTCTGAACTCCAGTCTCCTGCATAATGCTGCCTACTATTCAGTTCCTCCTATGGACTCTTCCTCCCAGAATGAAGCTATTCATCTTCCTCCACCACCTTCTTGGACCTGCTGTCCAGGAACCCTTGAATTATAGACTCTGCCACCACTCTGCCATGTACTTTAATTCAAGAAGGGACTTTTTTGGACTTGTCATTGCATTGCTTAATATCCTTAACAGTTTTCTATCACCGTCTACAAATCTTTTGCGTAGTATGTAAGATCTTCTTTCATGATCCTTCCACTGTTTTTTAACTCCAGCATCCATCCTTTCTGCTATCTACCTTAAACTACATTCCAAACATACAGAACAACTTGTCCTTCCTTGAATATATGCAAGGAAGCCCTGCCTGGCTTCCTCACCTGTCCCTCTTCTCACCACCTCCCTTTTGCTGTTTCCTTTGAAAGGTCTCAGAGTTCAGGTATGATTACTTCTGGGAGGCCATCCCTGACTTCTTAGACTGTGTTTTCCCTCCATCTCCCCCTTAAATATATGTTGTCTTCACTAATTTTTTTGTAGGTCTCTTCCTTACATGGTAGGACTTTGTCTTATTTCCTTGTGAAACCCCTGTATCTAGTACAGCTTTGAACACCTATTAAGTACTTTGTCAGTACTTAATGAGTGACATCCTTACTGTGATTTGTGTGACATTTCTTAGAATTCAAGATGGATCAGAGCATGTTCCTTTTCATCCTTTCAACTCTGGTTTTCCCTTCTGGCTTTCCCGTCAGAATTAGATGCCCATTCTTGAAATTTGTGCCAGCTTTCACAACTCTCTTTTTCTTTGGTGGGGGGCAGAATACTAGGAATTTAACTCAAGGTCTTGCATGTACTAAGTAATGCCCCCAGCCCTGGTTTTCTTTATGAGAGGAGGGTTTTTGGCAGTACTGGGGTTTGAACTCAGGGCCTCGTGCCTCCTAAGCAGGTGCTCTGCCACTTGAGCTATGCCCTAATCTTTAATAGTTATTTTTGAGATAGGGTCTCATGTTTATACCTTGGCCAGTCTGTACTGTCATCCCTTTGTTTACACTTCCTGTGCATTTACACTTCTCATGTAGCTGGGATGACAGGTCTGTATCACCATGCTCAGCTGCTGATTGAGATGGGTGTCTTACTAACTTTTTGTCCAGGCTGGTTTTGAACTGTGATCCTCCTGTGTAGCTAGGACTGGTTTTCAACTCAAAATCCTTCTCTTCTGCCTCCACCTTCTAAATTGCTGGGATTGCAAGTATATACCACCATGCCTAGCTTTTTTTGCTTTGGAGATAGCCTCATTACGTAGCCCAGACTGGCCTCGAACTTACAATGCCTCAGCCTTCTGACTGCTGGGATTACAGGTGTGAATGCTGGGGTTACAGGCATGTGGCACCATGCTTGGATCTAGACTCCTCCTTTGTCTGTCTTTTAGACATTTTCTTCACTTCTTTCTCCAAAATGTGTCTGGTACTCTTCATTAAAATGTGTCTTACCGATCATCTTCTCTTACTACTTGTGAATTCATTGTCCTGACTGAAAGTGTAGATTTTATTCACTCACTTCTAGATTGGTGGTCTTTGGGTCTAGTGCAGCTAACATTTCAGACTGGCACCATAATGTGGGTTTTCCCCTCCCATCCCACTTACTCTCACTGCATGTCAACTTAAATGCTTCAGTCCAGCTATAGAGTACTCCATGTGGCTTTGTGAATTCTTACCCTACTACAAAACCATTGCTTATGTTCTTCTTCCTCCTTTTCACTTAACAAGTCCGGCCCTTCCTCAGAGCCTAGCTTTGGTTTTGTATCTTTTTCTAAGACTTTCCTCAAGCCCAAATTCCCCTGATTTTGTTTTAGTATTAATATTCTATCCTAATTCATTGTGACACTCAATTGTTTACTATGTTGTGTTCTTACTTAGCTTTGTTAACATAAAAATGAACATAGAATGGCGATTTCTTAAAGACAGGGTATCTCTTACCTTGCCTTCTATGTCCCTGTCAGTGTCAAATAGTGCTTTGCACACACTGGGCACTCAGTGACTATTCTTGAGTTCCAGTAGTCCTCTCAGGCTCTGTAGTATTCATTATTCCAAGACAGCTGAGTGGATATTCTGAGGATGGTTTGTGGCTGAGCAAATCAACTCAAAGTGAAGGTTGGGATGGTTCTGTCTTTTGAATAGACAACTTTCAGTGGAATTGTTGAAGTAGTTAGGGGATTTTTACTTAAAGCCAAAGTGAACCTTTCATCAGATTCATAAGATGGTCAGATTTTTTACTTCGCATATGATTCCTTATGAGACCAATAGAAGTCAAAATTTTCATTAATCTGGTAGGTTTTTGTAGGTTCCTCACTTAACTTTCCTTTATGCTGTCTTTAGGCTTTAATGACTGATGAGACAATATCCAATGTGCCAATCCTTATTTTGGGAAACAAAATTGACAGAACAGATGCAATCAGTGAAGAAAAACTCCGTGAGATATTTGGGCTTTATGGACAGACCACAGGAAAGGTAAGAGAAATATATTCTGGAGGTATAGAGAAGATGTCCATCATGTTTAAAACACTGATGTTTGGCTATCTAAAATTCTCCTTTCAAGAGTTTAGAACAGGCTTAGGATTTATTTTAGTATGAGTATTTTGTAACTTTATTAAAGGCAGGAGAATTTCCTTTATCCATTTTCTTTTCTTTTTTTGCAGTGTTGGTGATCAAGTGCAGGGCCTCACACATCCTAGGCAAATTCCGTACCACTGAGCTACATCCCCAGACCCTTCTTTAACCATTTTCTAATAACTGAATCCTTTAGGTACTTGAGAAATGAGTAGAAAAGGCAATCTTAATCTTTTAAGAATTTTTTGATTATCTTTCAAATCAATTCTGAGAAAGAAACCCTTTCTGATTCTTGAAAGAACCTTTCTTAGCTTAGAAATCAGTTTTTTGACTGGTGATTTCAGATTATGAAGAAGAGCAATCATTTATATCACTTTCTAAGTGTTAAAATCAAAGTATTTGATTATTTTCATGCTCCTTGCTGAGAGGTGAGCATATTACCCCATTTTGCAAATGAGAAGAGAATGATTTGTTCAGGTTTGCACAGAAAGTGAGTGATAAATCCAGAAATAAATTAGAGTCTTCCATATCAGTAGGTTATGGTGCCTCTAACTGGAAGGAAGGCTCTTACAGAAAAATAGGCTTTTGAGAGGCTTTTATTTAATTTTTAAAAAACATCTTCCCTTTTGTGATCTGTGTTAACTTATAATTCCTTATCTTTTTGCTGTTACCTGTTTCTTTCTTGTAATGCTTCCCTACTCAATTAGTTTCATGTATTATATACACATGAATTCTGAGTTCTTAATGCCTCAGTGCAACCTGTCAGTGTATATTTCTGAATGCTTCTGAGTATGTCTAAACAATCCCAGACCTCATTCATCAATGAGCATGTTGGTTCCTTGGGTCCCAATGGCTTTTTTCTTAGTTTGTTGCCATAACTTTCCATATGAATGCTGGGTATTAAATGCTTTTTGAAGAGACAGGCGGGAATAGAACTCTGTTGCTTACGCTATCGTGAAAGCAAGAGGCCCTGGAGTAGTCATCTGTGATTAATATTTACTTAGATTTTTGTTTAAGGAACAGAAAAACTGATGTTAGTAAGCACTCTTTCAAGCTTTTCTGCTGTGGAGCTGCTAACAGGCCTTTCTTGGTTTTGTCTCCCTCAGGGAAATGTGACTCTGAAGGAGCTGAATGCCCGCCCCATGGAAGTATTCATGTGTAGTGTGTTGAAGAGGCAAGGCTATGGCGAGGGTTTCCGCTGGCTCTCCCAGTATATTGACTGATGTTTGGACAGTGAAAATAAAAGAGTTTTACTTCTCTGGACTGATCCTATTCACAGCTTCCTCATGAACTTTTCTAATAGAACAAGGAAAGCTCTCCAACCATGTCTGGCATTGAGAAGCCAAGAGTCTCTGTCAACTCTCATCGCCCAGTGGTGACATGTGCTCTTCTGCACACTGTTGGGAGGTAATGCCCCACATGCTGGTGCAGGTCAGTATCCCGGGACTCGGAAGCTGGCAGGATTTGCTGGGTAAAGCTGTGTGCCATCATGGGACACCTGAAAAGAAAAACACGTCTCACCACTGTGGTTGATTTCAAAAGAAAGTGATTCTATTTTTTAAAGAAAGTGTTGTTAATGTAATTGGTATCCCTCCTAACTTTTTGAGTTCTCAATTTACTTGGTCCAGAGTTTTCTATTCTTTTTTTTTTTTTTTAAACTAGTGAATGGCATTTAGATACTTTGTAAAATTATGCACAGATACACATTGGAGGCCAGAGCTTGGGGGGTGGATTTAGCCAGCTGAATTAGCAGGTTGGTGAGAGAAGCCGTCCTGCCCCTCTAACTGCCTGGTTGGAGGTAGCATCAAGCTTGTGCATGGAAAATGAGGAAAGGAGCAGAACCCTGCAATTGAGGCAGGTTGCACTGTGGTAAGTTGGCATCATCCCTCATTGTGGAGTGGGGAGCAGATTGTTCACTGTGGAGGAATGAATGATAGAGTGGGCTGTTGTTATTATATTATTATTCTTGTAAAGTTACAAGTTTCAGCCAGTCTTTGCTTTTATACTGTTGTGAAATTTAATTTCTCTTGATAGTATCTTCGTTTTTCATTTTCAGTTATAAAAAGTTGTCTTTTGCCTCATGAAAGAGTTGAGAACATCTCTCATGTAGTCACATGCTGCACGCGTCTCACTTTTTTTGTACAGATTTTAGGGGGAAAATATTTTGAATAGCGGAGCACAGGACAAAGTTAATAGCTTAAGACCTCTTAATTTTGTGAGTTAAGGACTTTGCCATCTGGAACTGGAATACTTGGACTTTCTCAGTGGGCTTTAAAATTTCTGCTTGGAGAATTGGATCTGCTTCTTGGGCTGTTCATGAGCTCTGTCTTTTTATTACATTGTTTCTCTTCACTGGTTTTCTATTTTGTTGGTGTGCCTTTCTTCATTTCAGATGTAAGCTGGGAAAACACTAACCCCAGGACTTTGTGTGGAGTTTGAAGGCAGACTCGCTGACATCAGTGAGAGCGACAAGCAGCAGCAGCCCCATGAGGGTCACAAGCATGACTTTTTATAGCATTCCCATTTTCTTAGTGCCACGTGTAAAATTGGATTTTCATGATCTTAACTTATATTCTAACCTTGTAGTAAAAGATAAAAGACTAAGAAATGGGAGGAAATCTTTATTTATTTTCCCCTTAATACAAGGTTAGCAGTAATTTCCTCAAAATTGAAAATGATGATGCTTCCTTGTAGAGGACTGACCTTAGTTCAGTACACCCCTTTATCCAGTGGGAGGGAAAAGTGGAAAAGATACTTCTGGGGTACAAGAGTGTTATCCTTCAGTTGGATTTCTCACTCTTAGTCTTGCCTACTGACCTTTGGGGACAGCGTTCTGGTCTACTGTCAGGGAAAGAAGGAAGAGGCTGGATGAGGTATATCTGGGAATTGCGTGCATTGCATTTATAGCAATTGTGGCTGGAATAAGACAAAATTGTTGGTTTGGAAAGGGGTTAAAGCCTTAAGTGAACAAATCTAGCTAACAGTGAATGACCTGGTAGTAAACTTGCATACTTTTCATTTCCTTTGGCTAAAGGTTGCCCATACTACTCTATCCAGAGGCATGAGAAGTATGATTGCTTCAGTGTTAGTTTTCTTTTTCTTTTCCTCCTTGTCCCTAATCACTTTGTAGCAAGCTAGAAAACTGTGGACTCTACATAGGGCAGCTCTTTGTGAAAGTGGTTTACTTTGGCCACCGGAGAAAGAGACTGTTGAAAAGTCACGTGGTAGCAGTCTGTTTCTTGCCCCACAGAACACCATTCCTAAAATAAGGTAGCTGAAAGAAGCTGCTGTGAGGAGTGAGGCTCCGACAGAGGATCAGAGCCTTGTACAGGAACTCCCATTAATTGAGACTTTTCATTCTGTTTTATCAGAGTGCATATATGTCCTATTTCAGCAAAAGTAAAACAGTCATTTACAAAAGAAAGTCAATCTGTATCCTAAGCATTTTAATAAAATGTTAAAAACAAATTTGCTATTTCTTTTTTTGCTTTTATTCTGGGTTTAAGCATATAATGCCATCTGCTTAGGAGAGGGAAAAAAAGTTCTTCCTTACAGGAAGAAACATTTAGAATGGATGTGAGAGACTTGAATTTTGCTAACAGGGAAAAAAAAAAAAAAAGCGTGGTTGCTAGTGGTAGTAAATTTAGTACTGTTTGTGTGCTTGGAGCATGCTGTTAGCCCAGGATGATTGGTCATCCCCTCAATGACAGGTGCTTAAGCAGAATCTCTTACTGACATGCTAAAGTCCACTTTAGTTGTTCTGTTCATCATTTTACACAACACTGGAGAAAATCAGTTTGAATGCTGCATGTGGCAAAACAGGAAGGAACCTGTGCTGTGCATTTACTGAGCATTAGTACTGGAAGCCTTGCTTTTAGAAAATCCCAAATGAGATTCCAAAACTAAATAGGACAAGTAGAGTGAGAAACAAAATGCAACAGGTTCTTTTTTGTTTGTACTGGGATTTGAACTTAGAGCTTGAGCCACTCCACTAGCCCTTTTTTTGTGTTGGGTATTTTTGAGATAGGGTCTGGCAATCTATTTGCCTGGGCTGGTTTCGAATCATGATCCTCCTGATCTCTACCTGAGTAGCTAGGATTATAGGCGTGAGCCACCAGCACCTAGCAGGTAGGTTTTTTATAACCAAAGATTCAATTATGGGAGGTGTCCAATTGTTACTCTTACTATGAAAGGATGCTATGGGTAAAAGTGTGTCTTGCTTGAGGCAGAATGGAACATGAAAAACAAAGGCTGAGTCAAGAAACCTAGCAGTCAGTAGGTCTCACCAACAGAAAAATTTGATGCAAAACAGTTTGTGCTGGAGGTTTGAACATCATTAAGGAAGAAATCACTGGACTCTAGAGAGAAAGTCAGTCTTAATTGCCAGGAAGTTGGGGTAGGTTAAGAGATTTTGCTAAGATCAAGCCATCTTTTGTGTTACAAAAACAAAAGCAGACAGTTCGTGCTATGGGAAGATTGCCTAATTTTAGTCCTGCTTTATGTCCAATCATTTCCCTTTCTCAAATAGGTTTGGTTCACCAGGGGTATTGGGAGCATGATTTTACGTTGTGCTGGGGATACCAAGCAGTATTAATTTTATTCAAAGAATTCATGCAAAAAGGCTATGTAATTTAACTACCAACTGAATATTTTTCATTAGTGCTCACATAGATGTGTATTAATCTTACTAAAATTAATGTGTATTTTAGTGATACAGTGATGAAGCAGAACTTCATAAAATGTCTAGCTTGTTGTCAGTGCTTAGAGATATCATGAAGTCCATCCAAACTTACCTATTCTGAAAGATAATTCTTTGGAAAAGTAGGGAATTTTTATGGTAGCCTATATTAGAAGCTAACAATAGTTTTGGGCCTAATTTGTCTTGCTGGCTGTGTATATGGGCTGTGAACTAAGAAAGGTTGTTGCACTTTTAAGTGGCTGAAAAATTAAGAATGCAGTTTATGACACATGAAAATTATATGAAATTCCAGCTTAGGAAATTTTATTGGAACACAGACTCCACCAGTTGTCTTTTGTGTGCTACAACTGAATTGATCAGTATTTTGAGACAGAGATTGTAACCCACCAAACTTGAACTGTTTCCATTCTGGAAAAAGGGTTTGGCCCCTCGCCTAGCATAAATCCTGAGTAGTAGTTAAAAGTGTCAGTGTGCAATGTGCATGCATACTACGAAATAGAAGGTTGGATGATTAAAACTGTTTTACTTAGCTACTGTTCATTGTTGATTTAAAGGGCAACTTAGAGCTAATACAGTTTCAATGAAATTTGTGCTTATTGGGGCTTTGGTAACAAAACGTCCTAGGATTTTGTGACTCCTGTGCTCCCTAGTGGGTTATTGTAAGGTTTGCTTTCAAAAATAAATACTGAATCTCGGCCAAGGGAGGCCTCTATTATCCCAGGGGGTCAGAGGCTGAAGGTTGCCCACACCTGTGCAGAGGCTATCAGGTCCTGCTAAGGCCTGGCAAAGGCTAGCCACGTCAGCACTCATTTCTATTCCCTTTGCCGAAGCCCAACAGTCAGAAGACACTGGGCTCAGAGGGACCCGCCCTCCTTTCCTTCCATCTCACCGGGTCTCTTCATGACGCCGCACACCTGGCACTCTCCCGGGGCTTGTTCTGGTCCCAGCTGCTTTTTCTAAATCCCACAGGTTGGATAAACCAAAGAGGGCGGGATTAGCTGATTAGCGTCAGCAGCCAATCCGGGCTCGGCGCCGTGACCAGCCAATCGGGCTGGGCCAGTTGGGGTTTAGCCAATCGGGCTCGACCAGGAAGACCTGAGTCAGTCGCGTCCAGCCGTGGTTGGCGTTGCGCGGCCCCCCTCCCCCATCCCGGGGTCCTGGTAGTGTTCGTTGGTCCTCTGGGAAGCCCTGGGAATCTGCCCCCTCAGCAATGGGGCGGCAGTGGGGGCCCTCCATGAGGACGGCCGAGCAGGCAGGTTGCGTTGTGAGTGCTTCCCGGGCTGGGCAGCCTACAGCGGGCTCGTGGAGCTGCAGCGGAGTGATCCTCAGCCGTAGTCCGGGCCTGGTGCTGTGCCATGGGGGAATCTTCACTCCTTTCCTACGGGCGGGCAGTGGGTGCCTAACCGCGGCAGCCACCGCCTTCCTGCCTGGTGACAGTTGCAGCGACGACCTGCGCCTGCACGTGCAGTGGGGCCCAACGGCCGAGAGTCCCGCGGGTCGCGCGGAGCTGGGCCGTCCGGGATTGTGCACGCCCCAGTGTGCTGGTCTCGAGCCTGGCCCGTCCAGCAGTCCCCGCGGGCGGCCCCTGCAGCCCCCGCGTCCGGCCGAGCTGCTGCTGCTGCTGAGCTGCCCTGCCTTCCGGGCCCACTTTGTGCGCCTCTTCGGAGGCGAGGCAGCCGAGCACTGGCACTTTGTAAGTGCTGCACCGGACGACGAGGTTTCGGAAGAGGAGGAGGAGGATCAGCTGAGAGCGTTGGGCTGGTTCGCGCTGCTGCGTGTGCACCCGGGCCAGGAGGCCGAGGAGGAGCGCGGGCCGGCAGTGGCCGTGGCGCCTCTAGGGACCGTGCCTAAGGGCGCGCCCCTGTTGGCCTGCGGCTCCCCATTCGGGGCCTTCTGCCCGGACATCTTTCTCAACACGCTGAGCCGCGGCGTGCTCAGCAACAGCGCCGGCCCACTGCTGCTCACGGATGCGCGCTGCCTGCCGGGCACCGAGGGAGGCGGCGTGTTCGCGGCGCGGCCCGCGGGGGCGCTGGTGGCGCTGGTGGCCGCACCGCTCTGCTGGAAAGCCCGCGAGTGGGTGGGCCTCACGCTACTCTGCGCCGCCGCCCCGCTGCTCCAAGCTGCCCGTATGGCTCTCGCCAGCCTGCCTCCCGACTCTGCTGCCCTGGCCGCCCTCCTGCCGCCCGAGGTGGGCACCCCGCCGAACCTGCTTCTGCAAGTCCCTGGGCCTCCGTGGGCAGCCGCGGCCATGCTGGTGGAGTGCGGCACTGTTTGGGGCTCCGGAGTGGCCGTGGCGCCCCATCTCGTGGTGACCTGCCGGCATGTGGCCCCTCGGGAGGCGGCCAAGGTCCTGGTGCACTCCATCACCCCCAAGTAAGGCCCACGGGCTGTCCCCTTCCACGATCTCATGTGTGGATCCAGGCCTTCCATCTTGAGGATTGTGGAGGCCTTTCTCCTCTGGGCCTGTAGTGTGGGTAGAGACCAGGAACCCTCCCCTCATCCTTGACATCCAGAAACCCTGTGAGGGAATCTGGATCTTCTGCCAAGCTCCAAGCAGCTCTGGAATTGGGATCTGTGAGGCTCTGGGCATGCAGGACTGGGTATCTTTATTTCCCCCTCACTGCCTGAATTCCTTCTAGGCAGCGTCTCTGTCTCCTAGCTCTGCAAGGAGACAACCCTCTAAGTCCTTTTCCAGAAATTCCTTACCCTGCTCCAGGTGGTGGTGACAGCCATGGGATAATGAGACGGGCTTGCTAATCTTACTCAGTTTATCCCCTAGAGTTTAGCCAGAGCCGTCCTTCTGGATGAAAATTTCAGATGCAGGGTTCTAGATTGTGGGGTTAGGACTTAGGCAGATAGATGTATTGTAAACAGTCTTTGGGTGCTCCAATGGGCATCCAGGGTGGGACTTTATAGAGTCATTTGTCCCCTCTGCAGGGAAAAGCACCCTTGCCCTCCTTTACTTGCACTTACTGTGGCAGTGGACCAGCGGCCTTGGTTTCCTGGCTTGGATTTCTACCTAGCATGTTCTGTTTCCTTTGCAGCCCCAGGTGCTTAAGGCCAAGGTTAAACAGTATAGCAGCTTGGTGTTAATGCCTGATCTTCCCCTTATGTGGCTCAACACAGCCTTGCAGCCTGGGATTTTCCAGTCTCTCTTCTGAATCCTGGAGGATAGCCTAGTGTGGCTATCCAGCCTGGCTTTGCCATAGAGTTCCCACAGGTGGTCAAAAGGACAGCCATGACTTTATAGGGGAAACTGACAATGAGAATGGCCCTGTGGTTGGCTTCCAACTTCTCCTGCTCCAATCTTGCTCCTAAGGAAACACCAGGTCTGCTGGAAACTATACTCCTGCAGATTATAGTAGGATGCACTGTGTGAGCTTGGGCAAGTCACTTGTCTAAGCTGCCTCCAAATGAGTTAACATGTAAAGTCTTGGACCAGAGCCTGGCACATAGTATGCTATGGAAGTGCTAGCATGGATATAGATAAGGACCAAGAAGAGTAGAAACACATCATGCCTTCCCACCAACTGGCAGGATTGTTGGAGGTATCAGTGAGGCAGTGAAGAAAAGTTCTTTGGTGTCCTCTAGGGTCCTCAGTTGCACCATCTAAAATGGGGCTGATAACCAGTGCCTAGTTCATAGGGTTATGAGGGTTAAATAAAATGACATCTACAACCATCAACACCAGCCAGGCCTCCCATGCACGCTAGGTGTCAGGTGCTCATTATCATGGTGAAGCACAGGAAACTGCATAAAGGTACACTACAGTTTGTAAAGCATGCTTAGGTAAGTGATATGCTCAGAGCTGAATGACTGGTAGGTTTCAAGGCTGACACCCAGATCTTTGAAGGTCAAGTCCATGACTTTTACTGTCACTCTCATCTCCTTGCTTTCTCTCTAGTGCTGAAGGGTTCGAAAGCTAGCCTGCCATTTGCTTCCTTTGCTCCCAGGAGTGTGGCGATCTGGGGATGCGTGGTGTTTGCCACCCAGGAGACATCTCCCTATGACATAGCAGTGGTGAGGCTGGAGGAGGACCTGGATGGTGTCCCCATACCTGTGCCTGCTGAACACTTCCATGAAGGTAAAGACAAGGGGCACAATGTGAAGAGGGCCTGTCTGGGTTATCTTCCTTCTCATGGGCACTCTAACCATGCCAGACCAGGTGGCCAACTCCCTGCCCCACCCCTACTGAGTAAATGAGTCAGGGTGGCACTGTGGAGGTCTTATTGAGGCCTCCCTATGTGCCAGCCTGCTCCTGGTGCTGGGGCAGGTGGAGTAACCCATGAAGACATGTCCCCTCCCCAGGACCAGCAGCAGTGTGGTGTCGTGGTGCTGGACCGTTAGGGTTCCTTATAACACTTCCAGCTGGTCAGAGGAGTGTGTGGCACTTTGAGGCTCCAGTGGCATGATTTGGGTAAAAGGCTTTGAGATGCTGCAATATAAGTACTGGATGTGATGAAGAGATCAGGCCCTCTGGATGGGCATCACTCCTCTGCTGCCCTTGCACAGAGTACTTAACTATACTCTGTCTTGGTTTCCACATCTGTCAAATGGGGCTGCTGCACCTTGCTCCTGGGCATGGTGAGGACTGGGTGAGATGTGCCTGTACAGCATTAGCCTGTGCCCTATCCTGTACTTCAAGCACTTGGGGAAGGAAGGTGGGGCTCCTTTGTAGCCACTAGCACCATGTCCTTTCACCAAGAGGCTTATCAGTCCCTGGTGGAGATTAGTATTAATCCCACAAACATGAGCACTTTTGTGTGTGACAGGAACCCCAAAAAGTGACTGCTAGGTCTAGCAAGGAGCAAGGACTGGAGACCAGCCTGATGCTCCAAAGGCGCAGTTAAGCACATGTGTTGCTGGAGTGCTGGAGTGTACTGGGTGGAGTTCCCACCCTCTTCCTGCAGGGGCCATATAGGGAAAGGCTCCTTGTAGGTAGTGTCTAAGCAGAAACTCAAAGGGTAGAGGGGGTTGGACCTTTGGAAGAGGTGGGGTGAAGGTGGGGGTGGGAGTGAGTCACATCAGAACGGAGTCCCCATCTATACCCTTCTTCCCTCCCTGGCAGGTGAGGTTGTCAGTGTGGTGGGCTTCGGCATCTTCGGCCAGGCCTGTGGGCCCTCGGTGACCTCAGGCATCCTGTCGGCTGTAGTGCAGGTGGATGACACCCCAGTGATGCTGCAGACTACATGTGCTGTGCACAGTGGCTCCAGTGGGGGACCCATCTTCTCCACCCACTCAGGGGACCTCCTCGGTAACCAGCTCCATGGCCCTCCCAACTTTTCCCTTGCAAAGCCTCAATCCCACCAGCAAATACTCTGTGGCCAGCCTGGGAGGACCCTCTGTCTGGGAATGTGGTGGATCTTATGTCCATATTTACTTAGCCAAGGTTTTCAGGCTGTTCTGCCTCTGAAGGTGTAGAAAGGAGGACAGTGAGCTGGGAGGGGAGAGATCTGGGCCCTGGGCCCTGGGCCCTTCTCTGCCACCAGTCCACTGCATAACCTTAGGAAAATCTCTTAATGTCGTTTGGTCTATGAAGTCAGGAGTTGGATTAACCCAACGGTCACAAACTCAAAAGTCCGCAGAAGCTGGCAGGTGAAGTAAATGAAGAGCAAGAGAAGACTACAGTCTCGGAGGTCAATGGGTGGGCATTGCTCAGCTATAGCAGATTGTGGTCATGAAGGAAAGTGGGCCTAAAATGTCACAAGAAGCTGCAAACTTTTTTTTAAATATGTGGTTAAATTTCTTTCAATTTTTAAGTTTTTGGTAACTCAGTTTTTTTTTTTTTTTTTAATTCAGTATAGTGCTAGGAGCTGGGTGCTGGTCTGGTGGCTCACACTTGTAATCCTATACTGGGGAGGCTGAGATCATGAGGCTTGAGGATTGCTGGAGGATAGTCTGGGCAAATATTTCTCAAGACCTCATTACAAAATAATCAAAGCTAAATGAACTGGAGATGTGACTCAAGTGGTAGTGCACCTTCTTTGCAAGTGGGAAGCCCTAAGTTCAAACTCCAGTCTCACAAAACCCAGATGGATAAGGTATAACTTAGTGTTAGAATACTTGCCTAGTATGCACAGGGTCTGGGTTTGATCCCAGCATGAAAACAAACATAAAAAACCAACCCTTCCCCCACCCCCAAAAAATTTAAAAAAAATAGTCTGTTTCATTAGCAAAGCAAATTGCATCCAATTGGATGTAGGGCTGTATGTACAGCATCACTTGGCTTGTGGTAACCTTCATTATTTTTACCTTTTATTATTTCTAACTTTTTTCTTGTATAGTGAGGTCTGTAGTCTATTTATTTGTTCAACTCTAGTACACAAACCTATACCCCTGTGAGCAACAACTCTAGCAAGTAGAATATAGTGCTCGAGTGCCCCTGTGCATGTGGCTTTTTTTTCCCCTTCTTAGTGCTTAAGATCAAACCCAGGGCCTTGTGTATGCTAGGCAAGCACTCCACCACTGAGCTATATCTCTAGTCCCAGGTGTTTTTGGTTTTAGCCTTAAAGCACCTAGTCAAAAAACTGGAACAATATAGAGAGGATTAATATAGCCTCTGTGCATGGATGTCACACAAATTCATGAAGCATTCCATATTAAAAAAAAAGTGCTTAATCAAAGCAGGGAATAGTGGTATACACCAGTAATCCCAGCACTTGGGAGGCTGAGGCAGGAGGATTGAGAGTTCAAGGCCAGTCTGGGCTACATAGGGAGACTCTGTCTCAGACAACCAACAAAACAGAACTGTTCAGACAAAACACTGCTTTCTAAAGGTACTTCAGGTCAGCTTCTCTCCCCTACTTCAGTGTGGTTGTTATTCAACATTCACTTGTCACAATTTTTCCCATATCCACTTTTCCCCTGTATCCTAGTTGACAGATTTGTGGACACAGAAGTAAATATAGATGTGTACACATAAGTTAGTATACACACACAAATTCTGTATCTTTTAGTTCTGTCCACTGAGAAAGGCAAAGAGCAGTGACACTCTAGTTGCAGTGAGCATACTTACATACCTAGAGTCCAAGAACTGGTAGATTCTAGGACTGGAACACAGAGAATCCAAGGTGATCCAGGAGTATCTTGTCCCAGAAAGAAAGTGCTAAAGGCAAAAATGATGGGGTTATGTCAAGTTGTCAGGATCAAGAGTCAACCCAAAGGAGCTACTCTGAGGATAGGTCCAACAACAAAACAGGTAGCAAAGAAAAGAATGACTGTGAATGAGTCTACCCTTATATAAATAACTGAGTAAGTTTAGAAATGGAGATAAGTGAAAACTTGTTTATAGAATTATAATTAATGTAGAAGAAGAAACAAGGGAAATAGGAAATCACTCTTAACACATTAGCACTGGCTACTGACATATCTAAATGGACAGGTGCTAAGATTGGTGTGCAAAAGTTAGGTAGAAGCAATATTTGTATAATGTCAGAATATTTTCCCCAAAATACTTAGTGCTTATAAAAGGAAATACTAAATTTTTTGTGGAGAAGCCTGGCAGATACCAGCTTAGTCAAATGATCAAGGTTAACATCACAAGTACTATATGTAAGGGCTGAGGTTTGTGGCTCAGTGGTAAAGTGCTCACCTAGCATGTCTGAGGCCTTGGGGTTCCATTTCAGCACCAGGAAAAAACAAAACAAAACAATTATTATGTATAAAGGCCAGGTCACACCTGTAATCTTAGCTACTCAGAAGAATTGAGGTTCAAAGCCAGCCCAGGCAAACAGTTCTCAAGACCCTGTTGAAAATACCCAGCACAAAAAAGGGCTGGTGGAGTGGCTTAAGAGGTAGCATGCCTGCCTAGCAAGAGTGAGGCCCTCCAAAAAAACCCCAAGTATTATGTATAGATAATCAGACTCCTGATACTATACACTATGAAGGACACACTTCTGTGGGTATCTTCCCAATAATGCAGAACTCAATCTAATCATGAGAAACACGTATAAACCCACATGGAGGACCACTGACAAAATAACCTCCTTGTCCTCTCAAAGTGTCAAGGGCACAAGAGATGGAAAAGCATGAGGAACTGACTCCAGATTAGAGGGGATTTAAGAACACATGGCAGTGTAATGTGGGGATCCTGGAACAGAAAATCATGAAATCCAATCAAGGTCTGTACTTTGGTCAGTAGTATTGTACCAAAGGTAATTTCTTGGTTTTGATAAGTATTGCATGATGACAGATTTTGTCATGGGGAAAGCTGAATGAAAGACACACAGAAATGATGTTTAGCTACAGCTTCTGTAAGTGTAACATTATCTTAAAAAAACGTGTCTGTGGGTCTGACTTTGTTTATTCATTCAGCAAGTATCTGATGAGGGCCTACTCTGTGCCAGGCACTGTTCTAGTTGCTGGGGAGACTTCATGAACAGACATAAGGTCCTGCCCTTGTGGAAAGAAGTAGAATCAAGTAAGTGAACTGGAGAGTTAGATCTGGATGGTGGCCAGGAGACAGGCCAGGAAGAGGGCAGTGTGAGGAGTAGGTGTCCATGGCAGAAAGCTTAGCATCTGTCACTGCAGGTTTCAAGGCCCCAGTAGGCTTAGGGGCTCCTCTCTGCACCATTCATCTCCCTGCCCCTGGCTCACGTCTTTTGTTCTCTGACTTCTCAACAGGCATTGTCACCAGCAACACCCGCGACAATAACACAGGGGCCACCTACCCCCACCTAAACTTCAGCATTCCCATCACAGTGCTCCAGCCAGCCCTGCAGCGCTACAGTCAGACTGGCGACCTGGGTGGCCTCCATGAGCTGGACCACGCCACTGAGCCAGTCAGAGTGGTGTGGCGCCTGCAGCGGCCTCTACCCCAGGCCCCTCGGAGCAAGCTGTGAGGCTGTGTCACCCTTTGAGGGGGAAGAAGGACCATTTTATGCATTAGGAAGTGATGTTGAGGTGGTGGCAGTCATCAGATCGGGGTCCAGCTCCAGATAGGACATGCCTCAGCTGGCCACCACCCTTTCTTCACCCACTGACTGCAGTGTGGGCTCTGGGCCCAGGACAGACTTCTCTGTACTGTGGGGCCCAGCTGGCAGCCTGTTTTGGGGTGCTTTCTTGAGCCCTGATCTGTCGGTCCCCCAGCACTAGACTGAGCTGTGTGTTTCCTTTCTGGGGATTCCAGTCCAACTGCACAAAAGCTCTAGTTTTGATAGGCAAATGTGGGAAGGCAGGTCCAGCCCTGGTTGGGCATCTAGTCCCCTGATGGCTACTGGTCTCCTTGAGCAGCTTCCCTGGGACCTAGCCTCTGATATGCCTCTCTGCAGTCTGAGCTGGCAGAAGACAGGCTTGCTCAGAGCACAGTGACCCTGCTCTGAAGCCCAGAGACAAGGGGCGGACAGGAGCAACTCCCTGTTGTGCCATATCAATGGGCAGCTGGGTCCCTGGAAGCCCGGATGCCTGGGCCTTCACTCTGACACAGTGCCTTCATTTTCCAGCCCATAGCCTGAGTCTCAGGAACCTTGAGGGGGTGGGGGTGGGGTAAGCATGTGTGGTTAGGGCCTGGGAATAAACACAATGTACTGGTCAGCCTCTGTGCTTCTGTGTATCAGCTTCTTTTTCTCAGGTGCAATTGGGAATAAGCAAGCACCGGGCAGAGAAACATGCGCTTTCTATGCTGCTTCTCAGTAGCATTTCATCACATGGGGTGCTCTACTGGCAGGCTGGCCCTAGTAGCTGTACACACCATCTCTGCTGCCTGGGACTTGTGGGTTCTGGAAGGTAGAGGTCTTGGCCTGGTAGCAGATGTATACAGAATGCCTAGGATGTGGTGAGGTCTGCTCTGGGCCCCAGGTGGGTGTGAGTTAGGGAGTTCAAAGATGAATGAGGAGGGCTGGGATTTAGCTCAGTGCTTGCCTAGCATTTGTGAGGCCTGGAGTTCCATCCCCAGTACTGTAAAGAACCAAAACAAGAAAGGGTAATAAGTCAGAGCAACCCCCAGGAACTAAGACCAGCTCTGAGGGGGGTATGCCCAGGGCCCTGCACACGTAGGTGGGTCCTTGAGAGGATTTTCTCTAGCCCATTGAATGCCACCTAGGACATGGCAGGGGGTTAATCCAAGCCAGAAGAGTGTTGCCCAGGAGTGCTTTGTTTCTAACATGTTTGTTGAGTGCCAACTCTGGGCAACCACAAAATACTCTTTCTTCTTACAGATTAGGTCCAGAAGGCAAAGTTAGTGTGAGAGAAGTCCTACCAACTTCAGTTTGCCTTCATTGGTTGGGGCAGGGGGAGGGGAGGATTTATTCCAGCATGTGGATACTGAGTTGCTTTGGGCTATTCTGGGGAGACTGGTTTGTCAGTCCATTAACGCAGTGAACAGAGCAGTTCTGTCTAAGGAGAATATGTTCAGAGACCCAGAGAGGGGACCAGGAAGGCTTTATCAAGGTGACTCAGGTGATAAGCTGTCAAAAGAGAGTTCAGGTATACCCAGTAGACTGTTAGTGGGAAGGGTGTTACAGGTTGAGAGTAGCAAGAGGTGGGAGAGGGAAGTTGAAAACGCTTGTTTTCAGAGTGTTAAGTAGAAGATTAGAAAGGAGTGAGACAGTTTCAGGAACCAGTTACACTGGCCTTGGTGAGAGAGAAATAGCTAAGGCGGGATGGGTGGATAAGGGAAGGTCAAGCCCCACAAGAGGTGGAAGTGGCTGGATGTGGGGCCAAGGCACAGAGAGAGGAAGGTCCAGTTAGTGTCTGGATTTCTGACTGGGATAGTGATGGGGTGGCTACAAGTGTTGGGGGGTGGGGCATCAGGTAGAGAGGTTCTGCAGGCTGTTGAACAAGATGAGTTAGAATAATGCAGAAAAAGATAAATCACAGTAAAGTGCCTGCCTAGCAAGGCTGAGACCCCGAGTTCAAATTCAGTACTGTAAAAATAAATAAATCCCCCATTTCAGTGACTTAAGAAGATAGAAGTTTATTTATTGATCAGAGTCCAAAGTAGTATCTGACCAAGAAGGAAAGATTAGTTCTTGTGCAATAGTGATTTTGGGACCCACGCTCCTTCTCGCCTATGGCTCTGGTGTTGGTTCTGGGACCCCAGATTCCTCTGCCAAGTCCTCTGTACCTGTTTGGTATATGGGTGAAGAAAGGAGAGGATATTCCTGCCTCATTCATTCACTCAGTGACTCATCCATTCATTGATGCTTTTTGTCTTTTCTTCCCCTGCTCTGTCTTTAAAAAAAAAAAAGTGTATTTTAAAACAATTTCAGACTCAAGAAAAGCCCCAGGGATCCTCATATACCACTCAGAGACCCCATCCAATTTCAACAGGCTCTCCAGTGACACTCTGTAACAAAAAGATCTAATTTGGGGTCAGATTGTCATGTTTCTGTTCTCCCTTGACTTGGGACAGTTTCTCAGTCTCTCTGAGTTTTTCAAGACCATATAAATATACTGCTCTGCATTCTCCTTTCACTTACAAGGCTGAGGATCCATTGGTGTTTCCTATCTGAATAACTATACTGGTCACCAAGTGATAATTTCCTATTTCATCTTTACTCTTACCTTACTAAGGTGGTATTCTATTGTAAATAGGAGTTTTCCCTTCTTTCTGTATCTGTGTGGATTCATATTTTATTTGGTGGGTTAAAATCCATCAGTATTATTTATTTTGATGCTCAAATTGCTCTACATCTGGCCAGTGGGAGTTCCTTCAAACTGGCATCTTCCTATCATTCTTTGGATACTTCTTTCATGACAAAAGCATCCAGGCACCTTTGTCCTTTTCCTTAAATCAGTTGTTTCCCCCAGGATTCTTTTGAATGGAGAATGGCGTTTGGAAGCCAAGGTCTAGGCACTGGGTGTGCTTGCTGTACTGGGTGTGCTGCTCCAAGGCCCTCTGTGTGGACACACACTTTTGCATGTATATTTACTTTTCTCTCTCTCTTTCATCAGTCACAGTTCATATGAATGGTTCCAATTTGGACTCAGTTTTACAGACTTTCCCCTTTCCTATGCTTGCTTCTGTGAGAGGAGCCTGGTTCCATAGTCTCATTATAGTCACGTCTTTGCTTCATCATCTGTACTTAGCCAATTTCCTGAGCTCCCTGGGCAGTCCCAGCCACCTTGCTCTGATGCCCTTCCTGCTTGGGCCACCATGGCTGCTCTACCAATGCCTGCTCAGTGACTTTTTTTATTCATTGGGAAGAGGGAAGAAAGCCACCCTTACTTCTTACCTGCTTCAGCTCTGAATTTACACCTACCTCTTGCTTGCAATTCCTTTGATGAGAACTTGTTCTCATCCCAAAGCATGGAGGGGTTGGGAAATGCAGTCTCTGGCTGGGCAGATACCCTGGGACAGACCTACATCATGGAGTGGGACAATCATCTTTGATGGACAGCTGGTTGGTTCTGCCAAGCTGGGTCTGCTTTTTTGAGACAGCATCATACTGTATAGCCCAGGCTGGCCTTGAACTCAAGATCCTCCTGTCTCAGCCTCCTGAGTGCTAGGATTACAGGTGTGAACCATTATACCTGGCAGCTTTCCTGTGACTTTTTGACTAGCAGGGAACAAAGACTTACTCATGTTACCTAAATAAGACAGAGCACAGTGTTTGCACCCTCCTGGACAGGTGCCAGAGAACTGGCTGGAAAGGTCTGAGAGCCACAGGAAGGGATGATAACATAGCACCCGTATCTGCTTTGCTCCCTCCCTTCTGGTGCCGTCTGCTCCCTCAGTCTCCATCCTCATTGCTGCAGTTTGCACTTGGTTGTCACACCTTTCTGTCCTTCCTCTCCCATGACGTTTTTCAGTTCTCATGCTTACACATCTCATGCTCAGGTTGCCTACATAATTGCCCAAGAGAACAAATGGCTAACTAGGCCCACCCATTTTCTCATGCCCTGCTACATCTGGGGCTGCCCCTTCAAGGGAGCTGTGGGCATGATGGTCTAGTTAGAGTAGGAGACAATCTATACTGAAGTCTGGGCTACAGATGAAGGTGGGTGCTATCTGCCATTGCTGCAGGAGTAGGTGGAGTGAAGGGCCAGGGCCATCAGTGGTTAAGAGACTGGGGAAGAGGGAGGGTCTACAAGGGAATTAAGTAATAAGCAGAGGCACAGAGAGATCTAAGACCTAGATCACTGAGGCAGACACTAGCTTTGCACCAAAGCTCATTTTCTGCTTTATACTTTGTTTCCTGGCCATGCTCACACTTAGGCGTGTCCATGCATTCCAACTCATGCAAGAGTAGAAGGGAGGTGAACCATGTGTGGGCCTGGCCTATAATAATCTACCTGGCTTTCTCTGAGCAGTTACCATCCCACCCTTGGTAGGAATGGAGGCAACCCCTAAAAGAGCTTCTGGAAGCCATTGTTGCAGAGGGTAGAGCCTGGTTTCTAAATGACTATGTGACTAAGACAGCCTCATTAACCAGGACATGAGCCTGGAACTGATACCCCAGCACTTCTGTTGCTTTCGAGTCATTACATTTTGGGGTTTATTTGTCACAACAGCAGAATATATCCTCGCTAATTTAGTCTTTTCCTGCCTGAGAGCACATGTTGAGGGAGAGAATAAAACAGGGTCTCTCTCTGTCCTTTGAGGCTTAGGAATTTAGCAGGCACAACTATGGAGAAGGAAAACATTTGCCGGGCTCTTTAGAGTTAATGGCTGCCTCTTCTCCAAGTGAGGTTAAGGCCTAATGAATTGACATTAATCCCTTGGCATTCCCTAAGCCCTTGGGGCAGCAGTACAGCTCCCGGCTATCTGTTAGGAATGTCCTCAGGTCTGGCTGAGCCAGTACCTCTTCCTCCTCTTTGATTCTGTGACATTGGACTATCTGCCTGCTAGCTGGATTAATCAAAGTTCTGTGGAATGGACTACCAAGTGTTTCAGCATCCTAACCACCACACCTTCCTGCTACTTCTGGCACTTGGAAGTTGGAAGACAAAAGTCCTCTGTTAGGCAGTTAGCCCTGATTATCAGTTCCAAAGCTACAGACCTAACCGAATGGATAGACAGGAGTGATGGCAAGGAGTTTCCTGTGAACTGGCACAAGAGAGGTTGCATTCAACCCTGCCCTAGATCAAATGCCTCTGTCTGCCAACAAGGTATTGTGTGACAATCCGAAACCTTGATTTTTTTTTTTTTAAATATTGAATTATTTTATTTTTTTCTACTCCTATCACAAGGTCTTCATTCCTTTCTCCAGGATGTCATTCTTTTTTTTTTTTTTCATTTTTCTTTTATTATTCATATGTGCATACAAGGCTTGGTTCATTTCTCCCCCCTGCCCCCACCCCCTCCCTTACCACCCACTCTGCCCCCACCCTCTCCCCCCCCCTCAATACCCAGCAGAAACTATTTTGCCCTTATTTCTAATTTTGTTGTAGAGAGAGTATAAGCAATAATAGGAAGGAACAAGGGTTTTTGCTGGTTGAGATAAGGATAGCTATACAGGGCATTGACTCACATTGATTTCCTGTGCGTGGGTGTTACCTTCTAGGTTAATTCT